GCGTAGGCGTTTCATCGACGAGGAGCAGGGTGGTCGGACCCCGAAGACGCCGGTCTCCGTCGACGCCTACGCCGAGCTCACCTTCGACGACGAGGAGGCGCTGGAATGCCAGGAGGAGGAGTACCGGCAGAAGGTCGGTTCGCTGCAGTTCGCGGCGACGACGACGAGGCCGGACATCGCCTTCGCCTGCAGCAAGCTGGGGAGCGGACTCACGGTGAGGAGCGACCAGCACTGGCGTGAGGTCGACCGCTGCCTCGCCTACCTCGCCAACACACGCGACACCGCCCTGGAGTTCGGCGGTGGTCCGGAGACGCTGGAGCTGGTCGGCTACGTTGATGCCGACGACGCCGGCGACAAGCAGAACCGGACGAGCACGGGAGGCTACGTGTTCGTCTACGGAGGGGCCGTAGTCTCCTGGTCGAGCCAGCGCATTAAGTGCGCGACGCTGTCGTCGACCGAGTCGGAGTACGTGGCGGCCGTTGCCGCCGGGAAGGAAGGACGCCGACTTCGCTTCCTCCTGGCAGAGTTCCGGCAGCTGGACGCCGGGAAGCCGACTGTCCTTCGGGTGGACAACAAGTCGGCCATCACAGTCGCCGAGGGCATGGGGTTGACGGGCAACCTCAAGCACATGGAGCGACGACAGGCCTGGCTGCAGCACATGGTGAGGCGCGGGAAGTTCACGTTGAGATACATCCCGACCACCGAGCAACCGGCCGACTTCCTGACAAAGGCGCTGCACTACCCGGCCTTCAACCGGTGTTCCGTCGCGATCGGCCAAGTGCGCCTGGCCGAAGTCGGCGACGGCGACAACGACGTGCAGCAGTAGGTGCCATGCCCTTTTGCATGGCGTGTCCGGCATGCTGTGTGTTGTGTGCACGCCGCCGAGCTATTCTCCGAGCAGTGCTGCCGTGTGGGCTGGGGGCCCAAGCGTGAACGCGGCAGGGGAGTGTCAACGGGAGTTGTGTTTGGCCCCGTCCTCGCTTGGGCGGAGCCGATCTCGTGGTCGGGTGTGCGGGGGATGCAGCCGACCTGCAGCAGTGGGTACGGGGGCCACTGCAAGGGCGTTGAGCTGGGGGGCGCCTGGCTGGAGGGCGCCGAACAGGTGGACGCCGTCCTTGGCGTCTGGGCGGCGTCCTGGGCGTCTACTCGGCAACCTGGACGCCTGGACGGCGTCCTGGGAGGCTGGACGCCGACCTGGGCGTCTGCTCGGCGTCCCGGGCGCCTGGACGCCGACTTGGACACCTGGACGGCGTCCTGGGCAAGTGGACGCCGACCTGGACGCCAGGACGCCGACCTGGGGACGCCGGGCTTGGCGTAGCCGGCGTCCGACTGGGCTGGACGACCAGGCGGGGTTGCCCGGTCGACCGGGATACCCGGGCGACGTGTGCGAAGGTCGCCGAGGGATGGTCTCTGCGAGGACGACCTCGGGGGTGGTATCCCGAGGTCGACGTGGCAGGTGGGCGTCGTCACGGACGGAATGACTGTGCTGGGCCCGTGACGGGGCGTTGGACGCCAACCAGCCGCGCACACCTGCGAAGCAGGTGCACCGTTGTCCTGCGGGTGCAACGCTGTGCAGCCGACTTGCTGCAGCGTTGGCACACCGTGGACATGCAACGCTGGCGCACCGCATCTCTGCAGCGCTGGAGCGATGCGAGCATTGCTGCGCTGGAACGCGGTCGACCGTGCTACGCTGGAGGTCGACCAGCAGCCTAGCTAGCTCTGATGTAGTCTGTGTTGCCAACGTTGTTGCCATCATTGTTGTGAACTTTTGCTAGTGGAACTCTTGCCAAATTTCCCCGTGAATGTGCAAGTAGTGTGAACACAGGCAAACGACTAAGGAACGAACGCAGAGATCACTCAAGCTCCGTGCCTAGCCCGTAGTCTAGCTCCCGTTGTAGCAGTTATCTCCACAGACAGGACGCGACGCGAGGCTAGGTGGTAAAACTGCCAACCAGGCGCGTCGGTGGGAAAGCCAAGGAAGACGCAGGGAATGGTGCGGGAAGAGAGCTTGTCCGCGGTGGTATCGCGAAGTCTCTAGCACGGAGACACGAGGCCAGAGGTTGAGCTGATGCGCGGCGTATCGGACCGCAAACGGCCACAGGAAATGGGGAGCAGCCGCATGGATCATGGAGGTGCGAGCAACCTCCATGATCAAGCCAATGCGGCGCTCAGCAATCCCATTTTGTTGCGGAGAGGCCGGAAGCGTGAACGACTCGACGATGCCCTCGTCACGACAAAAATCCTCAAGGAGGCAGGAGGAAAACTCACCATCTCTGTCAAAGTGCAGACGCAGGACTGGGAGGTCCTGCTGGAACCGGACGCGCAGCTGTTGACGGACAGCGCGGATCTAAGGGATCAAGACACTGGGAACATCCGCCTTGCTCTGCAAGGGGAAAACTGTGGTGTAGCGCGTCTAGTTGTCAACAACCAGCAGAAAATAGAGCTCTCGGTCTGGTCCACTGACGCGGGCGGGGCCCCACACGTCCATGTGGAGAGTCTGCAGAGGAGCAGTCGTCGGGGGAAACGAGGAGGAGTGAGGAGCGGCACGCTGCCGCCCCTCAACGCTGGGAAGGCACGGCGGTGCAGGCGAGCGCGGAAGCGGGGGCAGGGACCTGGGGAGGCTAGAGACAAGGAGACGGGAGTGAATGCTACGCATACGCGACAAGGAGGGGTGACCAAGATGGTGGTGCCAGAGAAGAGTCTGGTGCGTGCGAACTCGACACGAGCAAGACGCAGCTAACTGACCTGACGCAACTACCTGTGCGGACTCAGTGGTCAGTGTGTACAGGCCAGACCCGGGTCTCCGAGTGAACGTGGCGAGGTGGCCGCCAGTCCGTGAGTCCGTACAGATCGCCACAAGCTCACCCCCAGAAGTAGTTACAGTGACAAACTGGTCCTGGAGGACAGCGTTACTCACCAAGTTCGTAGTGAACGAGGGGAGGTGGAGACCTACAAGCGAGCCGGAAGGGGCTGCCGGACACGGGAGAACGACGGAGGCGCGTGCTACTACTGGGCCCCCAGAGGGGTCAGCCAGAGTGACCGGGACAGGTGTAGTGAGCGCTGTGACTGTGGTGCAGTCGCGGAAGAAGCAGCGAGACGTACCTGAGTCAAGCGTGAAGGTGTGCAGAGCCACTGCAGGGGCTGCACCTGTGCTAGCAGGCTCAACGACACCTAGACCAGTAGCCTCTAAACCACCAGGGACGCGTCGCTGAGAAACCCACTCCCAAAACTGCTGCGGCGAGAGAGTCTCCTGTCGACGAGCCTGTTGCTGCTGGCAGTACCTCCAGTACCATTGCCCCAACCAGAGCGGCCTCGCCGAATAACCCATTCCCGAAGCTGCTGCGGCGAGAGGGTCTCTTGTCGACGAGCCTGCCGCTGCTGGCAGTACCTCCAGCACCAATACCCCAACCAGAGCGGCCTCGCCGAATAACTCTTTCACGGAGTTGCTGCGGCGAGAGAGTCTCCTGTCGATGAGCCTGCTGCTGCTGTCCAACCCCAAAACCTCAACCTCCACCAGCGGCACCACCTGTAAGAGCAGACATACAGGTACCTACACGCGTGGCCATGACGGGCAGGAGCAATCAGCAGCAGCGGCGCAAGGGCGGCGGTGGTAGTCGTAGCGGCAGTAGTTGTAGCAGGAGGTGCTGCGACTGTGGCAGCTGTTAGAGCAGCTGTAGCGGCGACAGTAGGGGCTATAGCGGCAGCAGAGGGGCTGTAGCGGCGCTAGTAGGAGTTGTAGCGGCAGTAGCAGGGGCTGTAGTGGCGGCAGCGGGGCTGAAACAGCAGAAGCAGGGCTGTAGCGGCGATAGTAGGGGCTGTAGCGGCAGTAGCAGGGGCTGTAGTGGCGGCAGCAGGGCTGAAACGGCAGTAGTAGGGCTGTAGCGGTGATAGCAGGGGCTGTAGCGGCAATAGCAGGGGCTGAAGTGGCAGTAGCAGGGGCTGTAGTGGCGGCAGCAAGGCTAAAATGGCAGCAGGGCTGAAACGGCAGTAACAGTGCTGTAGCGAAGATAGCAGGGGCTGTAGTGGCGGCAGCAGGGCTGACACAGCAGTAGCAGGGCTGTAGCAGCGATAGCAAGGGCTGTAGCGGCGATAGCAGGGGCTGTAGTGGTGGCAGCAGGGCTGAAACGACAGTAGCAGGGCTGTAGCTGCGATAGCAGGGGCTGTAGCGGCGACAGCAGGGGTGTAGCAGCTTGGCAGGGCAGGGCTGGGCAGCGTGCAGGGCAGCGCTGGCGGCGACCAGGCAGGGCAGCGTGCAGGGAAGCGCTGGGCAGCGTGCAGGGAAGCGCTCGGCAGCGTGCAGGGCAGTGCTGGCGGCGGCCAGGGAGAGCAGGGCAGCGCTGGACAGTGCTTGCAGGCAGGGCAGCTGTGCCAGCGGCCGGCAGCAGCAGCGGCAGTGGCCGCCAGCAGCAGGCAGCAGCTGCGGCTTGGCAGGGCACGCATAGGGCGGCGCGGGCAGGGCGCGCATAGGCGGCGCAGGGCAGGGCGCGGGCTGTGCGGGCAGAGCGTGGGCGGCGCACGGGCAGCAGGTGCAGTGCGCGTGCAGAGCAAGCAGCGCGCGGGCAGGGCTGCGCAGGGCGTGGGCAGCACGTGAAGGGTGCAGGCAGCGCGCGCAGGGCAGTGTGCAGGCCGTGCGGGCAGAGCGTGGGCTGAGCAGGCCGCGCGAAGGCAGGGCGCGGGCAGTTCGAGCCGCGCGCGGGCCGTTTCGGGCAGCGCTCAGGGCGCGGGCAGCAGGGGCAGCGCACAGGTCGAGCGCATGTAGGGCACAGGCAGCACGCGTGCGGGCAGTGTGAGCGGGGCACGTGCGTGCGTGCAGAGGGCAGGGCAGGGCAATCGCGCTAGCGGACAGCAGGGCGTGATTCGGTAGGCCGGGGTAGAAGAAACGGGCAGAAGGAAAGGCTAACGGCGGGCCCTAAAAAATTAGGTCCTACAGCAGGACCTGCTCAAGATACCATGTTAGGATCCTAGACTAAGTGCCAAGACTTAAGAGAGTGGTAGCATCAATGAGAGTGTCGAGAAGTACAAAGTGAAACCTAAAGCTATTGTACTCTCTAAGGAGTGCCCCACTACAGCCTAGCATAACTAACAACATATGAATTTATGTTCTGACAGATGGCAATCATGATTGTGCCGGGGTTGCTAGTGTTGATGCTCCTCGTAACGATACCGCTTAGATGGCTGCTGGTGCTGGTGATGCTGCTGCTGGTGCTGCTGATGCTGGCGTTGCTGCTGGTGGTGCTGCTGATGCTGGTGCTGCTGCTGCTGCTGGTGCTGCTGATGCTGGCGTTGCTGCTGGTGGTGCTGCTGATGCTGGCGTTGCTGCTGGTGGTGCTGCTGATGCTGGTGGTGCTGCTGATGCTGCTGCTGCTGCTGCTGGCAGTGGTGCAGCAGCGGGGCTTGGAGCACTAGGAGGAGGTGAGACGACTGGTGGTGGTGGGGATGGTGGTGGTGGGGATGGTGGTGGTGGGGACGGTGGGGGTGGTGATGGTGGTGGTGGTGATGGTGGTGGTGGGGACGGTGGGGGTGGTGATGGTGGTGGTGGTGATGGTGGTGGTGGTGGTGGTGGTGGTGGGGACGGTGGGGGTGGTGATGGTGGGGGTGGTGGTGGTAGGATTGCTGTGAGGGAACACAGAAAAGAGGGAATGAAAGCAGCAAGGCGAGGCAGGGAGAAAGCACCACAATGATTGCAAAATCAGATAATCGAGCCAAAAAAACCTCCCACTCATTTCAGTTGCACGATAATAATAAACACATCTCTGGAGCCATGAAGATGCACCCAAAAGTACCCAGAATCACCTGAAAAACCACCAGTCAAACCACCTGACAGTGAAAATGTTCTCGTGGCACACACCAGAATCAGTGGGTGGGAACTTACGAGGGCTGGGGGGAGGGGGAGCTGGGAAGCGGCGGGAGATGAGGGACGGGGGGCGGGGAGGGCGGGGAGGGGGAGGAGGGGGAGGAGGGTTGGGAGGGGGAGGGCGAGGAGGGGGAGGAGGTGATGATGTAGAGTGTGGGGGAGAAGTGGGAGGAGGCGGAATAGGTGCTGGTGCTGGTGCTGGTGCTGGTGCTGGTGCTGGTGCTGGTGCTGGTGCTGGTGCTGGTGCTGCTATGGAACAGATGGGGGGGATGAAGTCAATAGGGGGAACCGAAGGGGGGAAGGAGAGAAGATAGGGAAGAAAACAAAACGGGAAGAGGAGAGGCTTTGGGTGGGATGAAGTATAGAGGGAAAGATGGCAGGTGTGGAGGCAAAGAGTTTTAGAGGAGAATGCACGGAGACATGGGGAATGGAAGTCTATTTGATAGTGGACGCGAGTCTATCAAGTCTTCCATTCTTCATGACTCGAGGAAGGATAATTTATAAATGAATACACGAGTGAAGAAGATTCATGCAGGCAGGCACAAGTAAGGGGGAAGGAAAAGAAAAAGCAGGGAAGAGGGGAAAGCAGGAAGCATCGAAAGTCGTGAGCAACAGAAGAAAGAAGAAGTTAGAGAAGGATGAACAGTGAAGCACAATGAACAATTAAAGCGGTGAACAGTGAAAGTGATGAACAGTGAATGAAAGCGGTGAACAGTGAAAGCGATGAACAGTGAAAGCAGTGAAAGTGAAAGCGGCGAACAGTGAAAACGGTGAACAGTGTAAGCGGTGAACAGTGTGCAGTGTGCGCCCATACCTATCCCCACCTGGTCCATCGCCCTCATACATACATACCTGTGGGTTATTGTTGCAAACCATGCAATCCGCAACTGTATCGGTCATCCGCAGGTTTGTTGCACTCGTGTCACAAATACATGCGCATTGGGGGTTTAAGAACTGTCATAATCTATGTAGAGTGGTGCAAACATACCATACCTGTCAGTCATCAGTAGGACCATTGCTCTGACATCATACATACATACATGCGCGTTGGGTTTAAGAACTGTCATAATCCATGTAGAGTGGTGCACACATACCATACCTGTCGTCAGCAGGTCCGTTTCTCTCATTTTTACGTGCCTGTGGAAGGTGGTGGTGGGGTTGGTGGTGGGGGTAGCGGTTGCGACAGTGGTGGTGACAGAAAGCGGGGAGGTGAAGGAGGAGAGGGAGGGGAGGAGAGGGAGGAGGAGGGGAGGGCGGAGGAGGAGAGGGAGGAGGAGGAGGAGTGGGTGAGCTGGGAGGAGGCGGAGAAGGAGGGGGGTTAGCTGCAAGGGAGACAAGGAGGGATGGAAGGGGAAAAGGTAAGGAAGGAAAGGAGGGAGCGAGAGAAGATGAAGACTGAAAAAGTTGGTTGTGCGACTAAACAAGTTTGAAGCATCTCACACGAGAGGCGGGCACGATAGGGGAACTGTATGTTTGCATGACTTCTGGGAAGAGCGAAATGCGGAAGTTTTTATGTAGGCATGGGCATTGGCCCGACACGGCCCGACCTGACCCGACCCGACCCGACCCGTTTGGGGCTACCCGAGGGCGGGGTCGGGTCAGGTCGGTCGGGCATACCCGACCCCGGGTATTTAGGGTCAGGGTGTATACCCGACCCCGGGGTGTATACCCGACCCCGGGGTGTATACCCGACCCTGGGGTGTATACCCGACCCCGGGTATTTAGGGTCGGTGTATACCCGACCTGCGCTGTACACCTCGGGTATTTAGAACCCGAGGTCGGGTCGGGTATACCCAATGTGGATTATGTTATGTAGTTTTTATGTTTATTTCTTAACCTGCTTAAAGATCACGTTTGTCGGGTTTCACATACCCAACATTGGACACCCGGGTCGGGTACCGGGTAATAAAATACCCGAGCGAGTATGCACTATTGACCCGCACGGGTAGTCACTTCGGATATAAGAACCCGACCCGACTTTATAGTCGGGTCGGGTCGGGTTACCCGAGTCGTTCGGGTAAAGTGCCCATGCCTATTTTTATGTCAGGAGATGCTCATTACACACAAAGCCATTGTTGTTCTGCTCTACATCATACTTGACTTGGGAGTCTCGTGCACACAATCTCGTGCATATAATCTCCAAACAAATCTGAATGATGCAAACAGGGTGGTTCAAATAGAGTGGTGCAAATGGAGTGGTGCAAATAGAGTGGTGCAAATAGAGTGGTCCAAATAGAGTGGTGCAAATAGAGTGGTGCAAATGGAGTGGTGCAAATAGAGTGGTGCAAATAGAGTGGTGCAAATAGAGTGGTGCAAATCGAGTGGTGCACATGGAGTGGTGCAAATGGAGTGGTGCAGATGGAGTGGTGCAGATGGAGTGGTGCAGATGGAGTGGTGCAAATGGGTGGTGCAAATGGGTGGTGCAAATGGAGTGGTGCAAATGGAGTGGTGCAAATGGAGTGGTGCCAAATGAGTGGTGCAAATGGAGTGGGGCAAACGGAGTGGGGCAAACGGAGTGGGGCAAACGGAGTGGGGCAAACGGAGTGGGGCAAACGGAGTGGGGCAAACGGAGTGGGGCAAACGGAGTGGGGCAAACGGAGTGGGGCAAACGGAGTGGGGCAAACGGAGTGGGGCAAACGGAGTGGGGCAAACGGAGTGGGGCAAACGGAGTGGGGCAAACGGAGTGGGGCAAACGGAGTGGGGCAAACGGAGTGGGGCAAACGGAGTGGGGCAAACGGAGTGGGGCAAACGGAGTGGGGCAAACGGAGTGGGGCAAACGGAGTGGGGCAAACGGAGTGGGGCAAACGGAGTGGGGCAAACGGAGTGGGGCAAACGGAGTGGGGCAAACGGAGTGGGGCAAACGGAGTGGGGCAAACGGAGTGGGGCAAACGGAGTGGGGCAAACGGAGTGGGGCAAACGGAGTGGGGCAAACGGAGTGGGGCAAACGGAGTGGGGCAAAGGGAGTGGTGCAAAGGGAGTGGTGCAAAGGGAGTGGTGCAAACGGAGTGGTGCAAACGGAGTGGTGCAAACGGAGTGGTGCAAACGGAGTGGTGCAAACGGAGTGGTGCAAACGGAGTGGTGCAAACGGAGTGGTGCAAACGGAGTGGTGCAAACGGAGTGGTGCAAACGGAGTGGTGCAAACGGAGTGGTGCAAACGGAGTGGTGCAAACGGAGTGGTGCAAATAGAGTGGTGCAAATAGAGTGGTGCAAATAGAGTGGTGTTTACCAGTCTTGCAATACGTGCACACGTTGGGACAGAGAGAGCAGAAGGCGAGGGGAGCAGCAGAGGAGGAGAGGCGGGAGCGGAGAGAGGGAGTGCAGGCAGAAGCAGGCGAGGGGCACTCCATGCTGTCGCTGATGCTCCTGTGGTCGTTGAGGGGAGGGGGGGAGAAAGAGTAGACGCGAAACACAGAAGGAGAATTGCTTCTAGAACTCTCAGAGAATGCTCACTGCTATGCCAGTGCTGATACTCCAGTTGTTGTGACAAGGAGTAGGAAAGAAACACAGAGGGGGCGGAAGGGGAGAGGGGGCCGGGGCTGGTGGAGCGGAGAATTGGCACACAAGTTGGGATTGGTAGCATTGGTCTTGTGTTCCAGCTAAGAACTGGCAAAGTACCGTGAAGGCGAGTCGACTAACAAGTAGGACACTGAGATATGTACGACCACCTTCTTAAGAAGCCACACTCACAGCAGCGCGAGCCACACTCACAGGGGCACGCGCCTCACATGCGACTCAAATCTCCCCACACTCACATGCGACTCAAATCTCCCCACACTCACAGGTAAATGAGGTTGGGGCATTGAGCAAGAGCGACAGGGATTACCCCTGTGAAGCTGTTGCCTGCGAGATGTCTGAGGGGTGGGGGGGGGGGGGGGGGGGGGGGGGGGGAAAGGACTGAGCGTATTCATGGGACGGAAGAGCTGACGGGTCGTGCGCTGTGGACTGTGGAGTGTAAACAAGAACCACAGGAGCGACCCTTGTGAAAGTGTGGCCTGAGAGTTGTCTGAGGGGTGCGTGGGGGGATAAGGGAGAGGGAGATGAATGAGTGAGAGGCTACATGGGAAGGGCGAACAGACGGGTGGAGAGTAAAGAAGCAGCAGAGGGACTCAGACGGAGAGGAGGCGTGTTCAGTGGAAGGGTGGGAAAAGACATGTGCAGGTAGCGAGACCCAGAGGGTGGGAGAGAGAGGGTGGGGGGACTCACAGGGTGTAGAGAGTGGGAGTGGCAGGGAATATGGAGTCTGTGATTGGACCAGAGAGGTTGTTGTTTTGCACGTCGCTGTGAGGGAGGGATGGAGCAAGGAGGGGTGGAGAGTGGAGTGTGGGATGGAGACGGGAGGGCGGAGAGGGGAGGGCGGAGAGGTTGTTGTTCTGCACGTCGCTTTGAGGGAGGGATGGAGCAAGGAGGGGTGGAGGGTGGCGGATAAAGAGGGGAAGGTGGAGAGTGGAGTGTGAAAGGGGAGGGTGGAGAGGAGAGGGACAATGAAGGGACAGATAGAGAATGGAGGGGGAAGAATAGAGGGGAGGTATTCAAAGTGAAGAGATGGAGAGGGGAGGAGAGGGGAGGATGGGAGACGGGAGGATGGGAGAGGGCAGGATGGGAGGGCGGAGGTGACATGGAACGCCCATGACTCACAATGCAAAGAAGGCCAGGTTGGCGATTGAAGGGTCTGGGAGGCGGCCAGACAGCTGGTTGTTGGCGAGCAGGCTGCATGGGCGGTGGAGGGGAAATCAGAGGGGAGGAATCAGAGAGGGGTTTCACACGGCCAGACAGCTGGTTGTTGGCGAGCAGGCTGCATGGGCGGTGGAGGGGGAGAGGTCGACGTGA